AGAGAGAGAGACTCAAGTTAGTAAAATCAGGAATGAAAGTGGAGAAGTGACAACAGACACCACAGAAATACAAAAAAAATTAAGAAAATACTATAAGCAACTATATGCCAACAAATTTGACAATCTAGAAGAAATGTACAATTTTCTAGAAGCATACAACCTTCCAAAGCTAACTCAAGAAGAAATGGAAAATCTGAATAGACTGATTACCACCAAGGAAATTGTATCAGTAATCAACAAGCTCCCAAACAAACAAAAGCCCTGGACCAGATGGCTTCACAAGTGAATTTTACCAAATATTCAAAAAAAGAATTATCACCTATTCTACTCAAAGTATTCCAAAAAATCCAGAAGGAGGGAAGGCTTCCAAAGTGCTTCTATGAGGCCACTATCACCCTGATCCCCAAATCAGACAAAGACATTACAAAAAAAGAAAACTACAAGCTGATGTCCCTGATGAACATAGATGCAAAAATTCTGAACAAAATATTAGCAAACAGAATTCAGCAATATATTAAGAAGATCATACACCATGATCAGCTGGGGTTCATCCCTGGTATGCAAGGTTAATTCAATATCCGCAAATCAATTAATGTGATACACCACATCAACAAAATGAAAATTAAAAATCATATGGTTATATCATTAGATGCAGAAAAAGCATTTGACAAAACTCAGCAGCCATTTATGATAAAAACTCTTAGCAAAGTGGGAATAGAGAGATCATATCTCGACATAATAAAGACCATATATGATAAACCCACAGCTAACATCATACTCAATGGAGAAAAGCTAAAACCATCCTTCTTAAGATCAGGAACATGATAAGGCTATCCACTTTCTCCACTTTTATTCAGCATAGTTCTGGAAGTTCTAGCCACAGCAATCAGACAAGAAAAAGAAATAAAAGGCATCTAAATTGGTAAGGAGGAAGTAAAACTGTCATTATATGCCGATGACATGATACTATACATAGAGAACCCCAAAGACTCCACCAAAAAACTATTGGAACTGATAGAGGAATTCAGTAAGGTAGAAGGATACAAACTCAATATTCAAAATCAGTTGCATTTGTATACACCAATAACAAACTATTAGAAGGAGAAATTAAGAAAACACTCCCATTTACAGTTGCTTCAAGAGCTATAAAATACTTAGAAATAAATTTAACCAAAGAAGTAAAAGACCTGTACTCAGAAAATTATAAGACACTGAAGAGAGAAATTAAAGAAGATACNTCAGTGTGCCTCTGGGCAGGTGAGAGCAGAAACAGCATTGACTTTGTAAAAACTACCAACCACACCCCTTGGCCCCACTCATCTAGAACTGCATCACCAGGGTCACTCTGGGTACCAGGCAGCCAGCTCTGCCCCCACAAGATGCAGAGGAGTTTTTGTACAGCAGAGAACAACCTGGAGATAGCTTGGTGGACTTTGGCCAAGACTGGCACTGGGTTGTTGTTGTTTTTTTGGATGTTTTGGGGGTTTCTTTTTGTTTTGGTTGTTTTGGGTTTTCTATTTCATTATCATTTGTAGTTTTTTATATGTGTGTGTGTGTGTGTGTGTGTGTGTATCCATATATATAGGTGTGTAGACATATATATTTTTTTCTTTTCTCCCTTCTCGCTCCCTTCTTTTCTTCTTTCTTTTCCCTGCTCTACTTTTCCTCCTTCTTTCCATTTTTCTGCAATTTTTGTTGTTTTTTTGTTCTGGTGTTGCCGTTTTGTCTGCCGTGTTTCTTTTGGTTTTTTGTATTTTTAATATTCCTGTGTATGTTGAGTGTTTGTTGATGGTTGTTCTTTCATGTGAGAGTATCTGGTTTCTTTTGGTGACTGTTGTGGTTGTGCTTGTTGATCTGTTTTGCTCTAAAATAGCTCTGCAGCATGGCCCAGCCAAAGAGGCACAAGAATCATTACACCCAGAGGCCAACTTTAGACCACACCAGAACATTACCAGATTTGACCTACAAGAGTCATGCCCAAAGGGAAATCTCTATAGGCACAAAAGCCCATAGGGGCCAAGCCTCATCTGAGGGTTCAACCCTCACACAGCAGCTCATACACTGTGGACATAGCCAATCCTCACAGCTAGTCAGCCTGGGAGTCAATTCCACCTACTGACAAGTCAAAAGCAATCAGAGCTCAAATTCAATAGGAGAAAACACACAACACAAGGAACACCTCTGGTACACATGCACAGCAGAATAGGGAGACTGAGCAATTCAAATATAAAGGACACATACCACATAAGTCCACCCAGAAAAAACTGAGAGACCGAGGGGAACCTAATACATCAAAGCAAACACAAAGAGTAAGCCAAAATGGGGAAACAAAGAAACACATCCCAAATAAAAGAACAGAAGAAACCTCCTGAATCACTGGAACTAGAGGAAATAAAGGCAACCAACCTATTGGAGACAGAGTTCAGAACACTGATGATTAGAATGTTCAAGGAAATCAGTGAAAATATAAAGGAGGATAGAGAAATCATGAAAAACAACCAGCTAGAACTAAAGAATACAATTACTGAATTAAATAACAAACTCGATGGAATTACTAGCAGATTGGATGAAGCAGAGGATTGAATCAGTGACTTAGAAGACAAGATAGCAGAGATCATCCAAGTGGAACAACAAAAAGGAAAAAGAATAAAAAACACTGAAAATAGTTTAAGAGAGCTGGGTAACAACATCAAGCACAACACCATGCACATCACAGGAATACCAGAAAGGAGAAGAGAGGGAGCAAGGGATNTTATTAACACAGAACTGAGTTATCAGCATACTCACAATGAAACCAATGTTAACACCTCACTTTAATTATTTTATATTTATTTGCAGTTATTTTTGAACTTGGAGATGACCTCTCTTCTAGCTGTAGCAGTTCACTGTTCAATCCTAACTCAGTGGCTAACACAACAGGTAATAAATACCACCTGCTCTCACCCCATATCCTGCCCTCACATCTTACTTCTCCCTCACATCTCTGAAACTGTGGAATTTCCAGAGTTGAGTCCATGGCTAAAGCCCATGAGAGAGCGTGAATCTGAAAAGATTCTTAAAAGTAATACCAGCAACAAAACAGAGTAACAAAGCTTAGCTTTTTCTTTTAACAATACACATAGAATAAAACTGCCTTCATACGTGTACCATACATGAATCTTATGACAGGAACATGTCAGATTTCATGCTGAGCAAGAAGTCCATGCTGTGGGCTCTGGGAAGCATCCAGTACTTGCTGGGTCCTCAGCAAATGGGTCGAGGGAGACTGTCTCTCTTTTACAGGTGACTGGCCTGGCATGGATGACCAAGTCATGTCAGCTAGACATGGCTGACAATGCTTTTGATGATCAGTATGAGGGCTGTACTGAAGAAATGGAGAAGAAAGCACCCCGGCTGTTAAAAAAAGAACTGGAAGTGAATAAAAATTTTAAAAATGAATGGGACATGGCAAAGATAAAATGGAAGCAAATACAGAACAAAAATTATCCAAAACAATTCAATGATTTCCATGGCACAGCTCTAGTGGCCTATACTGGGAAAATTGCAACAGAATTTAACAAAGCTGTAAGGGAATTCCATCAGAATTCACATAATTTTCAGTTCAAAGCCTTCCATTATTATTTGACAAGAGCTCTTCAGCTTCTCAGTACAGGGAAATGTTACACAGTCTATAGAGGTTGTGACACCAAACTTCATGACAATGGGAAAGGAAAAATACGTTTTGGCCAAATTGCCTCATCGTCTTTGGCTATGTCTGTACCATTAAGGTTTCTAGGAGAAAATGGAACCCTGTTTATCATCAAGACCTGCATGGGTGTTAATATTCAAGAATTTACTATGCATCCAGCTGAAGAGGAAGTGCTAATTCCAGGCTACGAGGTGTATCAGGAAGTCACCATGCAAAACTCAGATAAAAAATACAACGAAATTTTACTTGAAAGTCCCACAAAACTTAAGAGTAATGTCAATTGCTTCTATAGTTCCACTAACAATTTAAACAATTTCAACAGCTCAGGTGAGCATGGGTCTGTGTTCCAGGTGGGAGTGGTGGGGCCATCA